CCGTTATAAGCATCGAAGTTGACCACAATGGCATCTTTTAAACCTTGCCTGGAGAAGGCAGCCCAAAGAACACGATAACTTATAAGCTGCTTTAGTACGACAACGATTTAAAACCTTGGACGCGGGAATTGTGATGCATTCGATGCGAAGGACCAGTGGTTGTGTGTTACCTCCTGACCTACGATGGAGGAGTGGATATTTGGGACCCAAAATTCTGTTAGCTGTCCATCGACACACCCCGTGCTTCGCTCATGAATGTAAGCATTTATGAAGCCGTGTGAAGGCCGTTAGTGGGTTCCTTGTGGCAGGATATGTGAAAACGAAACTGTTCCCAATTTTGCTTGGACGGTGGTAGTGGCAAACCTGTGACACCTATTATGCCACTGTCAATTTACGACGATCTCGTCGTCATAGCTTAAATAAGGGCCCAATGTGAAGCACACTCTGCATGGGACACAGTGCAGCTCAGTCAGACTTCAATCCGTCATAACGCTTACACCCTCCCAGTCTTAGTCAGCCACCCTGGGTACAACGAAAATGCAGAACGATGAACTGTGTCCGTTGATCACGAAGACGTAGGCTAGCTCATGTGAGCTTAATTGTCTCGTAACCTCGTAGTAGTCAACGACGATTCGAAATGTTGTGTTAAGTTGCAACAGTAGGCCGTGCTTACGAGCAGCGTGTTTGTGCACAACTACTACCCCTGCCCACTCCAAGTGGTTTAGTGAGTGAGGCGGAATTTGGTACTTTTAAAGACAATTGCTGTTCGGCGACAATTTATTTGGTAGTCAACAGCATGGATGCCGCAATTTTCACCACTATTTTGCCGATTGTTGTGAAGGTGGGGAACGAGCCATCGTGTGAGAAAATGCTTAAATACACGGCCACATTCGAGGCGACTGACATACCAGATGCAAAAGAAGCGCAAGGAAGCACTCAGTGTCGCATAGGCGCTTTCTTCTATGTCGCACCACTCTCTACTTTTGTCCACCACAGTTCTCACATAACGCAAATAACAAATGCAGAGACATCAAAGTGATCACAGCATTGCCGTTTAATGAGCTTAATATGATGGGCGAGGATTGCTTAATCGTGCAAGGCTGCGTGCTTACAAAAACGATGCTTCAGTGGAGTATGTGACCAAAGGCCAAAGGGTAGCGTCTTCAGAAATTACCCTATGGTTTAGATTTGCAGAGCTCAGATCGGCCTTTGCGTGCATGGCCATTTTATCGATGTCTTCTACTGCAGAGAAGTTGCCTCTCAGTGACATCTTTCCCCTCACCTACAGGCCCTTCGGTAAGCATTGGTATCCGGCGCCACGAAGACCTGTCACCTATCTCCGAACCTACTATTCAGCAAATATACAGCGCTGCTCATCCCATACTTGGTCCCATGCCCTCGAGAAGCCCATCCCTGAAGAACACATCGACTGCAGAAAACTGATGCAAAGGTATGCCTTCGTCCACCGCTGTCCCATTCCCGAAGAGGAGAGAGACAACAACCCTGTCGGATTCTGTGATGAGCATTTGGTCGATGGTAGCGGACGAAGTGTGCACAAAGTGCGAACAGCCCTTGATGGCGATGAAATTGACATACCATTGTACACAGTCAGACATGAAGCATTCAGATGCTGTGAAGATGTTTACTTGAAAAATGGAACAACTGATGCCCACACCTGTGCTTTGACTTCGGCGCGTTCCTCCTTTTTATTTGCATATTTTGGCGAGTCCTACTAACAATAAGTGGTCGTAAATGTGTTTGGTTCTTTACCATCTTGACACACGAAGAGTTGCAACCCGATGCGGGGTAGATATCGCTTACTAACAATACCGTTTGCAATTAGTTAACAGCTCAAATTCTCTTCTTGACTACACTGAAGCAAAGCTAACGGCGTACATCAATCGCAATGGAAATGCTATTTTCGTCAAATGGGAGAGTTGATGGATGTGCAGCTGGTTCTTTGCAGCACCAGCACTTTTGCCACCGATATGCTGGTGGTCTTAGTGCGAACGTCTCTCCGTGCAAATTGCGATGCAGGGCGAAGCGGACCACCAATCAGCTTTCACATAAAGTCCGTACAATAGTTAAATGTCAGAGTCAAAACAACCACGGGCGTGCAGTTTAAGCGAAGCCCTGAACAGACCTCAAGGTGGACGGCTGAAGACTAGCACTATCATCTCTCCTCAAAAGCCGACTATTCCAGCATGTTGTTATCAGCGTCTGCTTACTTACAATTTGTACGACTGACCTTAATCAGCATCGTTGACTTTTATGTGCCCATGAAGTGATTCCTCG